CTGAACACAGTGAAAGTTAACCACCTCGGGACATACCGCATTCTTAACTATTTTTATAATTTACAATGCTATTTTCCATCTATTTATCAGTAACACTGGAGTTAAGAATTGTTAAGTCTTCGTTTCCAAGACGCATGAAGAATTTTAGGGTACAGCACAAAAAACGACAATATCAAAGCTAAGCTAGAAAAGTTTTGTCCCTACTTTCAGGCAGCAAAAAAAGAATTGAAATAAAAACAAACTGCATCCATCAGGAAGTTGTTCTTATTCTTATAAGAGACTCATCTAGGCAGAGAGCTCCTTACGTACAGCAAGTAAATATGAACACTTAAATCTTACCTATCAGCAAAAGAATATGGTACCTATAAGAAGGCAGGAAGATTTCACTGAACTTTAGAAAGAGAGCAGACTTCACAAGATTAGCACATACCTTCTGTCTGTTCCTTCTCCTGTAGCTTTCTCTCTCTCGTATCTAAAGACTCAGTTTCAGATTTCAGTTCTGCAGGTTGCCTTTTTTCAAAACTGAAGTCTGGAAGCCGTGGAGCCTGTGGTCTAGTTTTTCTTGCGGGATTCAGGAAAAAGCAGTAGGCACACCTAAAAGCTGCACAAAAGCACATCCAATAAACAGCCTCACTAACCGATTTTATGTCCAACTTATTCTTACACTCTGATCTTCTAAGACACTAAAACTGGATCTCAAATAATCACACCACAAGGAAATTATTTTTCTTCCACCTCAGCTTTTTAAAACAGAGAGTTAAATAAATATCAGTACCTGAGAACACCTCCATCAAGTTTATACAAACTGTTCTATACAGCTTCATTTTTGACCTCAGTATACATCTTTCTCAAATACCTGTTTTCTTTCAGCTCTGCCACAGTTACCTATAAACACTTTCTCAGCCTTATGAAATATTTGACCACAATGAACAAATGCAATTCAGCATAAGATGTTGCCAGATTGTAAATCTTTAGTCTATTCTTCTACTCTTTCCTATAGAGCACCCAAGATATCACTACCTTAAAGGTGCAATTTAATGATATCTTTAAAAAAAAAAAAGACCTGCTATGGATTCTTCAAGTTATTTCTTACTCTTTACTCTTTGAAGAGCATTCTGTTTCAGACATGCTTAATAAGAAAAAGTAATTTTGTTCAGAAGAAACACTGTATGGAACATAATTGTTAAATGTATACTTTCGCTAAGACAAGGGAGAAAATGGTTATTTCTTCAATCTTTGAACTGTGAATATGTTAAAGCTAAGATGACATCCAGTCATAATATCTTCAGGTCCATATGAAGCTTATTCTCTTACAGTGCTGTATATTCTCCTCACAAAACTGAGGCACACAAAATGAAAACAAAGATTTAAGATTCTTTCATTTCTTAAACACTAGGCTTACACTTGTGGTAGAAAGGAGGCAAAATAAAACATCTGTGTTCAATAAAGAGCTATGTCTGTCTTAAGTTATTGTCAGCCATAAATTCCCATATATCCCCCCCAGGGCTTGTTCCCACTCCTTTTCTGATGCGTCCCCAAGATCTTCTTGCCAAAACAAAAAAATTTTTTTTTTTTGTAAAGTTCTGGTAAAAGAGGAGTACTTTAATGTCAGATAGTTTCTCAATATAAAACCCTTCTGAGAACCATTCATAGCCAGTAGCAATTCTCAGAGATGTATTGGAGGAGACTTGTTTCTACTAAATAGTTTCCTACACATGAAATCCTTGGCCTGAAGGTTGTAATAAAGTATTTTAAAATCTTAAAAGTGAATCCTAAGATATTGAGTAGTAAGTTAACATAAAACTGTTCCCATATGAAGTGGCATTTCACAGTGCCAGTTAAGTACTTAATTGCAACTAAAATGAAACATGATGCATGTTAGCCATGAAACATAAGCAGAATACAGGTCAGTTCTTACCTATGTATTCAAACTCCTCCTTCAAAGCCATACCATTGTGAGAAAAACATTGCTGACATATTAGCGCATACCTAGAAAACATCAGCAATATAATTACATACCTTTAAGACACTACAGTAACAAAGACCTATTTTACCTTAGATGTTTGCTAATAGCTTGAATATTTACTCTTAAAAGGTGTATCCATGGAGAAACATTTAACATACAGATTTACTCGGCTTTAAACTGTGAAGAACAGTTTTTTGAAATAGTTAAAAGCAGTGAAAGATTCTTTGCAACAACTTAAGCCTCATGATTAAACAAATTTAAAAAAAAAAGTCAGTCTGGTCAGAAAGCCACATCCAAACTATTAAATGGTTCTTCTTTCGTTAAAATATGGTCAATATGAAAAGCGATCATAGTTAACCTGAAAGTTCTGATATGTTTGGACAGTTCTGAAGGCAACCTGAAAGCAATTGTACCAGTAATAAAGCTGAAGACTTGAGACAATCAAGTGTTTTTAGTTAGAAATATGGTTCATTCACCCAGCTGAATATTTCAGATTTTTCTTTTTGTATCACATGTTTAATATAGCTTGAAGG